GGGTGCCTTTGTTCAGTCGACACAGTTCTGCCTCGAAAGCGCCCAAACCTAGCGTGACAGGAAGAGAGTTTCCCTGTTGCGATTTTTCTGGATTTTGTAAAAGCCATTGACACTGTTTCGCGCACCATACTAGTGCACAAATTAGCTGGGTTAAGTATCCGCTGCTAGGTGTTTTCGTGGCAGCAGATTTACTTAGACAATATGGTGTTTTGCATGAATTTCAACAGGGTCTACTCAACTCAGAAAACATCATCGTCCGGTATCTCGTACGGAGCAATCCTGGGTTCACTCTTGTTCCTACTGTTTGTGAGGTACCTCCCGCTGCATATCACTTCTCGGATACTCCTCTACGCTGACGACGTCAAGTTTCAGTTGGCAAAATGATCAAACCTACAAACTGGTTTGTATTCATGTAACCTATGTTGTCTGATATATATATATATATATATATATATATATATATATATATATATATATATATATATATAATCAGTATTATTATTATAATAGTAACTTGCGAAACGGAATCGAGTGCACTACAGAACAACTTCAAAACACTAGAAAATTGGGCAACAAATAACGAATTGGCATTTAACCTGAATAAATGCTGGTCCATGTTTTTCTGCACTCCTGGTCCACAGAAAGTATCTTACTCTCTCTTTGGTTCACATCTATCCCGTACCGCAGCAGAAAAAGACCTGGGTTTAACGGCGACGTAGAAAGTGGACATCAGTTCCAATCACTCAGGTGATCCCTCAAAAGCTTACGGTGTATTACACTTTGTGCGCGGACAACTAGGTGCCCACACTTACAGTCTTTTTTGAAGACCTACAAGACTTAAATGCGACCCCACTTGTAGGTCTACAACGTTTTCGCTCCCCCACAACTGAAAAGAGGCAAGAAACTACTGGGGAAAGTACAGAGGTGGGCCACAAAAGGGATGCTGCAAAATCCACATTAGAACAGACCGAAAGACCTAGGCCTATGCTCTCTTAGCTACCGAAGGTTACGAGGTGATTTGATAAGGCTTACAAAATACTGAATAACTCAAGCCATCCGAACCGAGGAATGCTACTGAGTGGCCACTATGGTGATCCTTGTGGAAATCCTAAGAGAATTGGCCACCGAAGGTCAAAAACTCATGTGCGTTCACACCTCTCCCTTTGGGTCTGCGGGCACTGGAATGCATTACCAGCAGAGGTAGTCTCCTCCCCTTCTGTTGAAAACTTCAACAACTATTTTAATTTCTCCACCTTGGCCTAGAAACTCATTTTGGTTAACTTTTTAAATTCATTCCACTGTTATTATCACCATTTTACACTTCTTTGTCAGCAATTGACCCTTATTTAACCACTCGTTATTATTCCGTCTCTTATTCAGTGACCCAATTTCTATTTCTTCCACTTGACCAAATCCCGCCACCGGCCCCAATTGTATATCCTGGATATTGACTGAGCAACGTTTTAGTGCATTTACCTGATATGTTACCGATTAAAAAATACAACTGTACAGTTTGATAATGAAGACGTTGGAAAGAAACATTTCTTCATTGACATATGTCTTATTGTTACTCAAGAATGAATGGATGTACTTCATCAGTTAAAAGAAAATTGTTCAACCTCTTTTATGGTCATATTAAGAGGTCTAAATACGTTACCCAACTTATTACCAAAACTCAATAATCTTTATGCGACTCCGGACATATTTTGACCAATCTTCTGTATTCATGACAATTTTTGAGGACATTATCTTTGTTACTACTTTTGACGAACCACTGTTAGCTATCAAACACTAACAAAAACAACAAGTAATTTACTATTGTACAACTTCGAGACTGAAATTGACGAAAAAGGCCTTCATTGAGCTGATTGTTCACCTTTCATGTCCTGCTGGTAACTTCAGAATATTGAACAACAAATACGTCAACTGCTTTCAAACCTTACTTGGATAGGAATAGAATGAAATTCGAAATCATAAATGCTCAAATCAGATTCCTACTCACACAATACGTTTGTTTTATTTTGATAAAAGGTCATATTACAGAAACATTCACGCAAATATTACTGATCGATAACTAACAGCCGAAATAAGAGCCGTCCATTAACCAGTACAGTAGTGACTGATATTGAAGCATAACGTTTTCTTTTATTTATGAATACGTTTAATAACTTCTAAAATACTGTCTACTATGGATCAAGTAAACGTGGTTATGTGAAATAAAAAAGTGACCTAAAACGTTGTTGGTATTACACCATGCCGTATCCAACCTGCCCTTTCAGGAGAGCCAGTATTAAAGGCATTGATAGCTAATAAGAATCTAGGGAAAGAATTGCTTCACTGTGTGGTTTTTGAATGTGATTTAGCACAAAATAAATCACAAAAAGCATTTCCAGCGCTCCCGAAGTGTAAAGCAAGTACTAAAGAGTATTTTTTCGTTACAAAATCAGTTTCAGGGTGCATTTGAATGATGTCCAAGTAGAGGTTCTGCAAACTGCGTGGATTCATCAACGTTTAAACCCGAAATATAGGAAGTTATACAACCATAAGTTGCTTATACTAATTAAGTCTATCTGTTTTACTGACCCCATCAATGAATTATTCACCTGAATGATGTGCGTACAACATTTCTCACTGTTGCCAGTAAGCCT